ATTTAGTGTGTGAGATCAATTCATCGTCTTTTGTCTCACCTTGGTCTTAGTTGGATCACCAACCAGTGAGAATAGACATTACCAGCCAATGAGATCTCTATCATATCTAAATGAGAACAATAGATTCCCATGGTTGTTAGCCTGCGTTACTGTGGTTAAGAAAATGTATAAATATCATGTGTTGTTTCTTAAACTATAGGGTATAATACAAAATACAATATCCTACAGTCACAGGTCACCCTTTTTCTTTGGATGTTTACATGGCTCAGTGAATCGGAAGGTACAACGGACAAATAGACGTATAAGCGTACCAGTCGAGTTTATTACCGTTACAGTAATAAACAGGCACAGATATAACAAATTAGCAACGGATTTATTCAGTTCACTTGAGTTCAGTTATAACAAATCCCACCCCGTAAAAATAAACAGCACTGCTACTGGAACTTCAGAGCTATAGCTTGAAGTGTTACGTACCATTTGGAACGTACAGCAACAAAAAAATGATTAGACGTTCTCCTCACCAAAAAGACAGAAGGACTTTCGCGAAGACACTAATTTAGACATAAAACCGGTTAGACAACCACTGAAATCAAGGACTGCTAACTGAAGTCAGTTGGTGATCAAAACTAATAACTTGCTATAAGATGAAGCTGTCTGAAGTTCTCGTGAGAAGTCGTAGAAAGTGGGGCCATCACGTTGAGGGTAAGGACAAATACTCGTCGATAAAATTAGCCAGATGGCGAATGGATTGGTCTTGTCACCTGGAGGTCCTGGTCATGTGATTGTATTGCAAATGCGTTCCAAGGCGCCATTATAAAAGGTTATCCAGTATTCCTTGGTTTTCAATAGTTTTCTAGTCAATGTTTATTTAAAATTGTATTTTTGTTGATTAATTAATCATCTCACTTTATTTGAAGACCTTAGCAAATGAGCAGCTTACATGCATTTAATTGATAAACCAATTTACGGATAACTATCTCATCTTCAACAAAATTTCTGATATACTTTTGGTTTGCCTTCAGTGGCTATGGTATTCTGACATTTATAACTTCACAGCCTGAAAAGGAGTTAATGAAAACAAAACCTAACACAAAAGATATTTGAATTACTGAGGTCTATGTTTACTTCATATTTTCATCGTCGTATAGATTCACCTGAACAGTTGCGTCATTGTTCACTAATATCTCTTCTAATTCTTCTCACTATCATTCTCATGTGATGAAGAACAAAGACTTCGTCTCTCGAGATGACAATTCTGAAATAATTACTATTTTTATGACTACTTTTGTCACTTACAAGTAGTCGAAATTCTCCGACGAAAATAGTTGACTCTCTGCAAAAATCTCATTTTTTATTATTTTAGTATTCCACACAGTATTTTATTACATGTGTGGAATTTTCAGCATGTGATATCGGTATTCCAAATTTGGCAGGACGACCATTGATATCAGGTGAGCGTCTGCAGGACACTGAACCCCGGACCACGTGCATGGTCGGAGAGCGTCCCAACCGTTGTACCATCACTGATTAACACTTACCACTTAGGGGTTGTTTACTAATTCATTTAAATATATATTTGACTAATAGTCAAATAAAGTACTTAAAATATCAAATGGTCAAATTAGTAAAACTAATACATGACATTGGTGAAAAATATTATTTTAAATTAGACCTACCTCGGGATTTACTAGAATACACAACATTAAATACATATAAAATTTCACCAATGATGACAATATTTGATATAAAGATAAATGCCGAATATTGTGAATTATACAGGAAATAATTGTAATTATAGGAAATATCCATCATGACATTAGAGAACTTTTGTTATCTCTCAAATAATAGCAATAGTGATGAAAGAGGAATCACTGGTAGTCAATGCACGTGATGCTTAAAAGAATGAAAGTGTCATGATAATGTAAGTTTCTGAATAATTAAATTGTGCCAGAGTGTTAAAAGAAGTCAGAATATATACAATACAAAAGGTAAGAGGAATGAACAACTAAAGTTTAAATAAGTATGACTAAGGTATGCAGGCGGTTAAAAATAAAAAGAGTGAAAAGTTTTAATTAAGGATTTGTTTACTAAATTTACTTAGACCAAGGAAGAGAGGATGATGGAGAGAAATTCTCACTAGTTCCCATAGTTTCTGATTTTTATCAGACGACTTCTCATTCCTTTAGAAAGATTGGATGGGATAGGATAAATATTCATCCTTTCCACTATTAATCAGATGAGACAAAATTAAGCTTGATGATTTTGTTTGACCTATCCTAGCCACAAGAGATGCTGATCAGTGATTTATGGTGTTTTTCATCCTACATAGCTTTCTCCACAAAAGTAGCTAAATTTTTCGATGTCCGCAAAAGCCGCTCAGTTAAGTAAATTGTCCTTCGCAGTGATAATCGATCAACTGGAAAATTATAAACAAAAGGTGGCGGCGTTATAAGTCACTTTTACAGCACCTGATATTCTTTTGTATAGAACTTCATTAGCTATGTTCCTATTACACTGTGGTTAGTTCCACTTTATTGCGTACTCTGTTTATGCGTCTTCCATTTTAACCAGAGAATTACTGATTTTAATGAATTCACCAGGTTTCAGTAGAACTCTTCAGCTGAACCCTACATACAGGGATTTATATACTGTTGGAAATACATTGGGAGATATAAAATTGATGAGCAAATAAACTACAAGCAAAGCGACACGTGTGAATGTGTTTCAGGACATGTTCAAACAGATAAGGGGAATGAAGTATAAGAAACTAAAATTAAGGTAAAATGCATTCAGATTCAATTACATCATCAGAGAAAGAACTTAAAAATATCAGGAATTGCGAACTGAGTAATATTAACAATAATAATAATAGTAATAGTCTCTGAAACGAGTTTAATTAATGCTACTGGTATAAGATAGTTTTAAATGAATCAGGAATAATAATAATAGGTAGAATAAAGTGTTAATAATAACAATAACAGTTAATAAGTAGAACGTATTACCATGGTAGATTCAAAGTGACGACCATTTCCTTTTGTACCCAGAGACATAGTTTATAGACTCTAATTGCACAAGCCACCGCAATTGCAAACATCTTCCTGTTTCTTTGTCTACTGACAATAGTAAATGACTTGACAGCGTCGAAATCATGTCCGTGGTCTATGAGGTGCCTTGTTATCGAGCTTTTTGGCACTTTGACTTCGCATGTTTTCAGCCAGTTTGGCAAATGCTCCATCATGCGAGTAGACAGTCATCTATGCGTAAGACCTATGCATTTGCTTTCACAAACACACTCAAGGATTGACTACCGGTCTTTCCCAGATTGTTGAAGCACTCACTTGCTGATGTTAACGAAGACGCTTTTTGCAGCATAATGAGTTCTCTTGATAACCTTGTCGAGTCTTCGTTTGACTACCTTTTGTGCATCTACCTCTTGTACCTCTTGTACAGATTTAATCTGATTTGTTTTCCAAGCAATAACTGGAGCAAATACTTCAGACCTATTTATGGAGCATCTAACCAAACTAATTTTGGGCCGAATAAGTACAAAGCTAAGTGAATACGTATAGTATTCAGTGGATATAGTTTCATGCTATGGTTTGCAATATGTTTGTGCAAAGGTTGTTACATTCCAACTAGCCACTCTGCACTTCTGTGATATTTGGAATTAGGCATCTATGAAACAGTGAGGAGAGAGTCATCTTTATGTGCTTTGGGCAGATCACACAAACGTGGTGTATTACTTCCAGGGGGGTTTGAACTAGTCGCACGCAGCTTCAGAGATTATTTTGTTTGGGCTAAGTTTCTTAGGAGTATTTATCAACTGCTTTTTGACACTTACATTTAAAACCTGTGAGCTGCTAAGCTTTTGTAATTATGTTGCATCACTCTGAAGCGAATTTATTTTGTTCACATACTAGCACTTACCTATTAGCATTACATCCATAACTTTATCAGGCTTACTAATTATAACGCTTTCATCCTTTTTCAACTTAATCTTCTCGATGTTGTTTAGTTAGCTGGCTTTTAGTAAAATAAATATTGTTTGTATACTACTAACCTACATTTCTTATTATACACCTGTAATTAATTTCCAACTTCCATTCTTAACTCTACAACATTCTAGGAGTTTTTCTGTAACTACTAATAAGCTTAATAATACCTTCTATCCTTTCTATTCTACTGTCCACTTTCGTAATGCTAACGACTTCTTTTTCTGTGAAAATTAATAAAACTGTGCAAATATTTTTATGTACTGACATTGAAATTGTTTTAGGTTATATTTAGGCATAAAACCATACCATTTTATCCTAATCATTTTGTTATTTTTGTTTTGTTCATAAATGAAAACAATTGCACTTCACTATATTACACCATATTATAGGACAGAATTAACATGAAATATCTGATAAGATCATTTACTGATTTCAACGGAGATGATGTAAAGTAATTCAATAAATATTTAATTTCTGTCACTCTTCATCTATTCTATGCTGAGTTTAGGAGAGTAGTGAGTAATATACACACAGAAAAAAGTATAAAATAGTATTTAAAGTCCCACTTCATGAAGAAAAAATGAAATAAACAGACGACATACTACACATTATATCACATAAATATTTCGCTGAAATCTGGACAGCGTCAGTGCACCTGTATAAAGTAGCAACAGTTGTTTATATACAGAACCAGACACCCTTCATTGACCACAAAGGTTAATTGAAATTCTCTATAAGAAAAATGGAAAATGTAACAGACGGATATGAAAATCCCATCTGATATGACTTCAAAGAGTACAGCTGGAGTATTTCATTGAGAAACTGTGCTTTTGCACAAAAAAAAATTGTTTAGCATTTATAAGTATTAATTCATATGTATAGCTACTTTCGTAAACATGAACTTCACGTGTTTTTCTTCATATAGTGCATCTCAGTATTTATCAGTGTTATTTGAGTTAAATAACTTCAATTATTAAATTAGGAATTTAGTGAATTCACTTTTTTTGCTGTCATTGTTGTCCTTGTGATTATGATTATTTCGTTGAAAGTCGTGAACTAAGTGGAGACTTTCTGCCTATATTGGTATAATGTTTGCGGATTAATAAACATGCTTCACGTACAGGTTTAAAGTAAAAGTAACTTAGTACAATATCTAGTAAACTTCTAGAGAAAAATAAATTCCATATTATATCACCAATATTTTGGCAGAGTAGACCATTAGCACTGAAAATCCCAATTAGGCTGGCTCTATTTATGATATATACGACACCTTGTGGTACACCAAATAATGCATACGATGCTGATAGCAAAAGCAGAAATATGGATCCTTGAAGTCTTTTACGATCTTCTGCAGCTGCACCCTTAAATGCATCCATCTTCTTTAACTGCTTACGTATGCGCAGAAAGAACATAATGTTAATTGTAATCGTCAGTGACAACTGTAATGGTCCAAGATTAGTTACGACTGCGTGGTAGAATAGGATGCCAGCAATACGTGGTCGGACCCAACAGTGTGTCTTTCCGGCAACATTAAATAAACCAGATACTATGGCAAATGGTAATGTCATTAAAAAGGTTATAATAAATACAATGACAAAAGTATACCAGGCGAATTTATTAGGTAAATTGGCAAATCTGATAGGCATATAGATAGTTAAGCATCGATCGATTGCTGCAAACAACAGAAAATTGCACATCAAAGTTGAAGAGAATGAATGTGAGAAACGAAACAATCTACATGTATTGTCTGATAGATAATGCAGAAAGAAGTACTTTTGCCCATTTGTTGCATATGGTAGACCTTTAGTTAAATAATACCAGAACCAACCGAATACAATATTGACGAGTATATTTGATATTATAGATCCAATAAAGTAGATGATTGATCGCGTTTTACGATTGGATGCAATTAATACACTGGCTAGTGTAATATTGATGGTAAGTGAGAGAATTAACAGTACAGGTAGAATGTAAGCTGATGTGAAGTCTAGTACTATTGCAGATATACAGGATGCGTATAAATCACTTGTCCATCTCAATTTCAATCGGTTGCATGTTTTTTCTGAATTCCATGGAGTTTCTCTAAATGGCCAATTTGTTTTATTATACTCCATCTGTCAGATAATTATTTCTTTATTTTATTAGATTGTGGGACTAATGGTTGGTACAGTATGAAGTTAATATAACAGTATGACAGCAACTAATAATTGAAATAAACATTTTTGGAATATATCGAATATGTTATTCTTCAGGATATTTTTAATCAGCTTTTGTATGGGTTTAAACAAATATAAAGGATATTGAATATCACGATACTGACTGAGTTAATTTCTGAATTATGGATAATTTTTCTTATGGTGACATTTAACTTTTATGGGTGAGTTCTTTCAACTCACGAGATAATTTGGAATATATATTGAGAATTCAATGTAGTTAGAATAGCTTATCATGATTGGCTGATATACTAAAGGAATGAACAAGTTCGTCTGTTCACTTCATTGTTAGATGTTTTCATATTTATTGTTATTCTTTTCATCCAGTTATACAAATAAATTTCGCTACATCACTTTCATTATTATTCCTAAGAACAGTCCAGAAATTAGTGAAAGTTAAAATTTTCCAAATAAAAAAAGCACATTGGGGATGCGAGACAATAATGATTCACCTTCACAAACCACGCTGCTTATATCTTTTAAATTCCTAAGAATTTACAAGCAGATTGATTTGTTTAATACCTACAGAGCTTAATCTCAGGATAGACTTAGTAATACTGGTATTTTAGTGTCTTGTATACGAAATATGGACTTCGAAAATACTTCAAGAAAACGCATTTTTCAGATTATAGTTTGTCATTTTCCTCATTCACTATATACACATTTCAGCGCTATGAATGTCTTCAACATATTTCATAAGTGTCTTTAAAAATAAACCTCCCTCCAGTATCAATACAGTAATAAGTTCAGCAGTTTCTAACAATAGCTATTCAAAGATCTCAACATATTAGTGGTCATGGTGTCCTCTAAAATATAAGCCTTCAGAAGATGTATTTATACTAGTTCATTATTCACAAATGATCATAGTATATTTCTCCTTCACCAATTGAAAAATAAACAAATTATGTGTTAATTTAATTCTGTGCATTTCAGCAGAAATATGCCTGTGGAACTTGCCTATTATAAAACGTCATGTCTATCAACCATTCTTTAAGAAATTTAGAGGTCTGTTGTACTAGACACCAATTAAAATGTGAAGTAAGGATAGAAATTTTTCTTTTTAGGCTTAGTAGTTGGATAGTGCCACGAAAACAGAAGCATCTTAGATACATTTGAGATAATGATGTCACCTTAGTCGACTAAGTTGGCTACACGGGTTAATGAGGATAAGCATGAGTAGTGAATATCATGATAATACAAAGAAGGAAGAATAAGGAAATGTGTGGGATAAAAGGCGTCCATTTTATTTCACTGCTTTTCTTCAGCTGCTATCAGCCTAAAAATTACATCATTTATTGTGAATGAATGTAGAAACATAGCATACTTCACGATTATTTCAACTAGAAGTTCATTTAGTGATTTCGAAATAATCAAACTACTGGTTTTTATATAAACATATATAAAATGACAGAATATCCGAGATTTAAACGAGATGAAAGGCATAAGATGAGCACATATGGTAAATGAAAGTGAATTATTGAGTAAACAAATAAATAAGTAGATTGAAAGTCTTAATAATGGATTTAACTCAGGGAGTGAACATTAAAAGATCAAAACTCAAGTAGAGGTTATCACGCAGCAAAAAGACAAAAAACTTTTAGCAGGGTAGTACAGCTGAAATTGGAATGAAAATGATACTTGTAAAGTAGGATCGACTTAACAGGAGGAAATGTCCTTTGCAGTGCATCACTGACTCTTTTTTCCTTTCTTTTTGTTACTTCTTCCTCTTTGTCCGCAAGACAGAAAAAGCCTACTTACTTTCAACAGTTTCACGTTTAACATGATTCATCATGAAATTCCTGTAGTATCAATTCTCAACAAAAATTCTCTCAACAAATGTGAACTCATCAAACTTGTTTTCTAAAAGTAATTAATACCTTCGCTCTTCTGAAAAGCGTCTTAAACAACCTCCAGTTGTTACTAATGCTGCAGAAGCTATGACCACCACATACCTCCTTTCTATAGATGGTGTTCTCAGTTGTTTTATCATTTCTTAGTTTTACATTAAAGAAGAAGAAGGAGCTAGTTTTCATTATCTTAATCTGTTGTAAGCCAGATGTAAAGGTCAGCAGGATTAGATTCTTCAAACATTGAGAATGCCAAAAACAAAACAAAAAATGTATCCTTACATTAGTTCAAAACAGGCTTGCAAATTTCTTCGAAATAATCAGGGGAAATGAGTGTATGCAATACAAAGAACAACTGGTAAAAAGTCAGTCAGGTTTTACTTTAAAAATCGAGATATCCGTCAGACGCTATAACATAAAATTTTAGTGGACTAATTTTTAAGTACATTGGAACAGAAGGATTGTTACTATAACTCAAAGCATTTTATCTTCTCTGACTTAGTAGTGTCTAATTTTTGTATTTATCACGCGCAGATACACATTACACTCGCCTACAAAACTAAATGCACGTGTGAAAACAACTGAATTTAATTAACACACAGGTATTGCTTGTGGATGATATAACAGTACCCATAGTAAACGTATGCCACTCAGCAGCCGAACAGCACTAATTTAATGCACAGCTTAAACGGTTATCAAGGCAAAGTAAGAATAATAAAGTGATCATCCAAAATATGAAGTGTATTCTAAGACCAAGATCGTGCACGAGCAACCAGAAATAACAAAACAGCTTGCTATATAATATGATGGTGTTGGAAATACACCATCACAACCAAACAGAAAATGTAGAACTTGGGCACTGTGGTAGAATGTAATTCAGTATTAGATAAGTTTATTTTAAATATCACACACGCTGCAACTAAAATTGATATAATTATGAGTAATAAATCATGCTCGAAACGTCATCCAGTTGTTGGTACTGCTTAGCTGTTTGATATTTGAAATAAACTTATCTAATATGGCTAAGTAAAGGTGTAGTAAAAACCATCAACAGTTCGATATGAGACCATCTGGTACTAACCGGACACAAAGCCAAGCACTGAAGATTCCTTCTCTATCATCTACCCCGTGACAAATAAATTGCCAAAAACATCGAAGTACCGAATGCTCCAAACACCAGAGACTGTCGCAATTCGTGTGAAACAACCAGTGCTGTGTGTGCAAGAGAAGCAAGTCCAGCCACTACTACTGCCCTGGCTGGTCTTCACTAGAGACTATAAATTCATGAATTTGTATTATTATCTTTCCTAATTTTTCTGACATTCAGTTTATTGTTATGTTGATGCTATTGAAGTGTAATCTGTTGATATTATTGATTCGATGTTATTTAAACAACATTAATGTTGTTCATAACACTTATTCATTCATGCACTATAATGTGTATATAACTGTAGAGCCTGATGATGAAGTTATCGAAAAGAGTACTCTTTGTTCAGTAACCATTCTTTTGAAAATTTTAATGGGACCCGACCTGCTACACCCTACTGGTCATGATGAAATCCTGCAACCAATCAACCAAATCCCTACAAACTAATACTTGAATATCAATGAGATGCTCACTGGCGACTGGCCCTATTCAGGTAGGTAGTTACCTGGAGTTCCAGTGGGAAGTCGTGACCAGTAGGGTGCAGTAGGTCGGGTGTGAGGACAAATACTCGCCGAAGACATTGGCTAGCGGTTGGGCTATATCGTGAATTGGCAGAAGCTAGAATTCATGGGCAAATGGGTTGGGTCCCAGTGGCTCACTGTTCTACGAGCTAGCTCTTCTTGTAACCAGAAGGTCCTGGGTTCGAACCCGGGTGGGTACGTACTGATGAAGAGTCCCAAACTAGGACGAAACAGCTGTCCAGTACTCCCAGGTTTTCCAATGGTTCTCTAACTAATGTCAGCTCATGATGAAATCCTGTAACCAATCAAATCCCTACAAACCAACACTTGAGTATTTCCTCTTTTGATGGTATAAATCGGATCAAATCTCTCGGCGATAGTGAATGGCCCTTTCCACTTTGGAAAAAGTTCCCGTGAACCTGGTCTGCATCTAACTGCGTACCTTCTTTCTCTACATTTTACTTGATCGCCGACCTCACAGGTTATGCATCCCATCTTTTCTCTATGTTTAGATTTCGCTGCATCTATTTTCTGCTTATGCCCTACATTCCTGACGGCTTATCTCCGTTCTGTCCGCAGCTTCGTCATATCCCACCCTTGATGAAGGGGCCACGTCGTAGTGTGCATTATCTAATTTTATTTGGGTTTTATCACATTAGTGGTATTTTCTGGTAGATTTGTAGTTGATAAACTAATATCTTCGTTTTTGTCGCTTGAGATGCGCTCCATTAGTCAGTGTGAGATCATTCTATATACGCAGTAAAACTCTTTACTGGAAGGTCACATAATCATAAACCATTCTGTTATTACGGAGCGGACATATATTAATCTTTAACAAAATGCATTATATCTAAGCAACTCATTCATTTGAACTCTTTGTCCCTGTTACTATGGTAATTCTCCACACGTATACCTTAGCATTTGTTTTCTTTTATATAAAGCATCACTGATCCGAATTTCTTTAATACATATCAGGCAGCTGAATGGTGAATTGTCGTACATTCTCATGGTTATTATTCGCATAAATAGGAAGACTAAACTAAAAGAATAGTATATATTAAACTAAGAAGATGCAGAGATCCATTATAAATCAGGCAATCTATTTGGCCAAATACTCAAGTTGAATGTAGCATTTGTTTGTAAAATGATATAATTTTTGTTTATTAAGCTTTTCAATAGATGATTCGAAGAAGAAGATAATTAGAAGAGGTGTGGCATTAATTATGCCAGTGTGTAAGGCGTCTAAAATCAGGTAGTGATAAAAAGAAGTAAAAAATACACCTATGATATTCTTGCTTTTGTTGAAAATTGATAAAACATAAAAGACAATTCTTTTTCATTAATGGAAACACAGTGAGATCATCCGCTAGAGTAAAATTCGTTCCA